CCTATGGCGTAAATGGTATTGCCTAGGTTTTCTTCTAGGGTTTTTATGGTTTTAAGTCTAACATTTAAGTCTTTAATCCATCTTGAATAGATTTTTATATAAGGTGTACGGAAGGGATCCAGTTTCAGCTTTCTACATATGGCTAGCCGGTTTTCCCAGGACCATTTATTAAATAGAGTATCCTTTACCCATTTCTTGTTTTTGTCAGGTTTGTCAAAGAGCAGATGGTTGTACATGTGTGGTATTATTTCTGAGGGCTCTGTTCTGTTACGTTGGTCTATATCTCTGTTTTGGTAACAGTACCATGCTGCTTTGGTTACTGTAGCTTTGTAGTATAGTTTGAAGCCAGGTAGCATGATGCCTCCAGCTTTGTTCTTTTGGCTTAGGATTGTCTTGGCAATGCGGTCTCTTTTTTGGTTCCACATGAACTTTAAAGTACTTTTTTCCAATTCCATGAAGAAAGTCATTGGTAGCTTGATGGGGATGGCATTGAATCTACAAATTACCTTGGGCAGTATAGCCATTTTCACAATATTGATTCTTCCTATCCATAAGCATGGTATGTTCTTCCATTTGTTTGTGTCCTCTTTTATTTCATTGAACAGTGGTTTGTAGTTCTCCTTGAAGAGGTCTTTCACATCTCTTGTAAGTTGGATTCCTAGGTATTTTATTCTCTTTGAAGCAATTGTGAATGGGAGTTCACTCATGGTTTGGTTCTCTGTCTGTTACTGGTGTATAAGAATGCTTGTGATTTTTGCACATTGATTTTGTATCCTGAGACTTTGCTGAAGTTTCTTATCAGCTTAAGGAGATTTTGGACTGAGACAATGGGGTTTTCTAAATATGCAATCATGTCATCTGCAAACAGGGACAATTTGACTCCCTCTTTTGCTAATTGAACGTGCTTTATTTCTTTCTCTTTCCTAATTGCGCTTGCCAGAACTTCCAACACTGTGTTGAATAGGAGTGGTGAGAGAGGGTGTCTCTGTCTTGTGCCAGTTTTCAAAGGGAATGCTTCCAGTTTTTACCCATTCAGTATGATATTGACTGTGGGTTTGTCATAAATAGCTCTTATTGTTTTGAGACACGTCCTATCAATACCTAGTTTATCGAGAGCTTTTAGCATGAAGGGCTGTTGAATTTTGTCGAAGTCCTTTTCTGCATATATTGAGACAATCATGTGGTTTTTGTCTTTGGTTCTGTTTATATGCTGGACTACATTTATTGATTTGCTTATGTTGAACCAGCCTTGCATCCCAGGGATGAAGCCAATTTGATTGTGGTGAATAAGTTTTTTGATGTACTGCTGGATTCAGTTTGCCAGTATTTTATTGAGGATTTTTGCAACAATGTTCGTCAGGTATATTGGTCTAAAATTCTCTTTTTGTTGTTGTTGTTGTGTCTCTGCCAGGCTTTGGTATCAGGATGATGTTGGCCTCATAAAATGAATTAGGGAGGATTCCCGCTTTTTCTATTGATTGGAATAGTTTCAGAAGGAATGGAACCAGCTCCTGTTTGTACCTCTTTTCAATCTGGATGCACTTTTTTCCTTTTTCTTGCCTACTTGCACTAGTTAGAACATCCAGCACAGCATCGAGTAGAAGTGATGAGAGCAGATAATCCTTTCTTGGTCCTGATTTTAAAGAAAAATAATTTTTCCATTTTTAAGTATAATGTTAACTATAGGTTTTCACAAAGGCCCTTTAATAAGTTGAGTGGGTTTTCTTTTTTATTCTGGTTTGCTGAGAGTTTTTATCAAGAGTTGATGTTGCCTTTTTCCTTGTCCTTGTATATTTTTCTACATGTGTGCAACTGATCAGTACTCAGATGAAGACTAGAGGGAGAACTCTGCAGTTTTTCAGAGTCCTCTCTGTGTACTACTTTCTCTTCTCTGGTACTTTACCCTGTAAACTCTAGACACTTCAGCTTCCTTATATTCCCAAGTCGACTTCCTCAACGCGCAGAGACCACCAGGCTCAATCTGGATCCCTCCCACTAGCAATACAACCTGGAAATTATCTCAAAGCAGTTAGCTGAGATAATTGCAGGATTCACCTCATTTGTTTTCTATCTTTCAGGAGTTATTGCCTTCTGTTGTCTGATATTTAACATTTTAAAAATCATTGTGTCATATGTTTCATCTAGTTTTTTAGTTTCTGCAGAAGAGTTAACATAGTTTCTGTTATCCCATCTTGGTTGGAAGCCACAATCTCTTCTGGACGATTTTTATACATGCACGTTCCTAGGGCTTACTTCATACATAAATTGTGGACTAATCATTCTTGAGAATCTGCATATTTTCAAAACTCACCACTGAATTTATTAATAATTCCAGCTTGTGAAGTATAGATTTATCCACTATATTATATCTAACAAAATCTGTGGTCTGTGGGATGAGTTTTAGGATATGATAAGGATCACGGACCCAGGTTCTATGACCCTGTAGCCACAACATTTTCCACTCTCTCCCATGTGTACAACCAGTGTGTCTGCTACGTTAAAGCCAATGCTGAGAAGCCAAATTTAATTTTCTATGCGTTTCATTAATTATTAATCATCTAAATACTAGAAAGACTATAACAGAAATTGGGATACTCAGTAGAAACTGGATACTTCTTGCCCTGTTGTAAATATCACACACTTGTACCAGAGGACAAAGGAACAATGACAGTTTTACTGCGTATGTAAGATGTGATCATCATCCTAAAGAGAAAGCCATCAAAGTTTTGATGCAGTGAATATCCACCAAGACTGTTATCATTCTTTGTTCTTTAAGTGTTGCTGGATACCTTTCCAAGGTAGCACCACTTCAGTAATGGTGTTTCCTAGTAGTATTGGATAGTCTTAGAAATGCTTTAAAACACAGCCAAGTAATCACCTCTTCCATGTTATCTTCTCACAAAATTCTGGGCAACTTTAATTGCTCTCACTTCTGCATGTTTATTGTGGAGGACATGTAGCATTATTTTAGCCTTCTTCATTGTATACAGAGAATTTGTATTTGTATGAATAATACTTGTATCAGTACACAAGTAAAGTTTTCTATTGCGTGAAAATTATTGATTGGTAATCCATTCCTCCTTTTCAGTTATTCTAGAAATGTTCAGAAAATTAGAAGATATGATAATATATATTACATAATGTGAATGTATAATTATGAATAAATTTAAATAACATAATTTAACTATGTATCATATGAATATAGATTTATTTCTTCTTTTCTGGAATTCTGCCTGGGAATATCTGAAAAATATATAACTGGGTTATATTAAATTTAATTAATATTAAACAGCATTAAGTTGGCAAGCTCCCTGTCTGCTGTACTGCCAAATTTCTGATCTCATGGGTATCTAAACTGGCTTACAATGACTACGTATGTAGAACATTGTTTCCGCTTGGGATTATTTTATCCTAAGCATGCCCTGACACTACAGCTAAAATCCCCAGGATGTTTCAAGTTCCCTCTGACACCACTGATTTTTAGGAAGTCAAGGAAAATAACCCTTGGCAGGGCTTAATAACTCCACACAAATGTTAAACTTACAATAAAATGTTATTCCTTTGTTCTTCAGATTATCTTCTAAATTATTCATAGCCTGTCAAACTTAATTTCTAAATAAAGTAATGACGTTTTGTTATCATTCAGCAGTTTGATTTTAAGCCCCAGTGCTATATTTTACCTGTAAGCTTTGACTGACTGTGAAGATGAAAAAGGATAGGTGGGCTATGTGTATATGTGCAGCCTAAACTATGACTGTCTTACCAATCTCAATAAGGACCCTGATGAGGTACAAACTCAGCTGACAATGAACTCAAGCTCCTGTAACTGAGGTTCATGAATGTATTTTCTCTGCAAAGGGCTTTCTAATATTATATTTCTCATATTAGTTGAGGGAGGGGTGATGGTGGTAATCAGAATTACCTGGGATAGTGAGGAAGAGAATGGAGAAGACTTCAGCGTATATAGTTTGACAAGACCCTCAAGAAGATCATTTTTAAACTTCCCAAAGTGACAAATCACTGACCCAACCAATGCTCTATTAGCCATGGCTACAATTCAAACTCCAAGGAGCTTTCAAAAATCCTTACTACCCAGGTCACATCACAGGCCAGATTAGAATATTTGACTTGGACCCAGCATCCATACTTTAAAGAAGGACCTTGGAGAGGCAAGATCCACAGAGAACATGGGACTTGCTAAGACTGGAGTTAGAATAAACAGCTGCCTCCCATTAAAGTGGCCACAAGGAGAGTCCCTCTCCACTTCTCTCCAGACATGTTTAAAACAAAGGATTGGCTATGCCCTACAGGGAAGGTGTTATCTTTACATAAACAATTTTTTAAATTGTGATAAAACACACACAGTGTAAAACTTATCCTCTTCATCATTTTTAAGTACATAGTTCTGTAGTGTTAAGTATATTCATATTGTTTTGCAACAGATCTCTACAACTTTTTCATCTTGTAAAACTGAAACTCTATAACCATTGAACACCAACTCTAGTTTTCCTCTCTCTGCAAACCCTGGAAACAACTATTCTACTTTGTGTTTCTACGAGTTTGCCTATTTTTGATACTTTATATGAATGGAATCACACAGTATGTGTCTTTTCCAAGACTGGCTTATTTCACTTACTATAATGTCCTCAAGATTTATTCATGTGGTAGCACATGCTACACAATAAAAAAGGATGGTATTTCCTTTTTTTAAGTTGAATAATATTTCATTGTATGTATATGCCACATTTCTTTATCCATTCACCTGTGGTCGAACATTTAGGTTACTTCTACCTCTTGGTTATTGTGAATGATGCTACAATGAATATAGGTATGCAAATACCTCTTCAAGATCCTGCTTTAATTTATTGTGGATATATTTCCAAAAGTAGATTGCTGGATCGTATGATAATTCTATTTTTAATTTTTGGGGGAAACTCCATAGTATTTTCCATAGTGGTTGTATCATTTTATGTTCCCACCAACAATGCAGTAGAGTTCCAAACAACAACGAATGCTTCGTGAATTTCCATGTCATCCTTGCACTAGGGCCATGCTAATCTTCTCTGTATCATTCCAATTTTCATACATGTGCTGCCAAAACAAGAACTAATTAAACAATTTTTGATGCAATTTTCAGAACTTATTGACAAATCCCATGCTGTTGACAAACATTAAAAAAAATCTGTATGATTTTTTAAAATGCATGTTTGAATAATTTCATTTCATTTTAAGAGAAATCAGATCAATGGTCAAGAAAGTTACCAATAGGAAGCCCTCACAAGGTGGGCCCAGACAGCAGCATTGGCCTCAGCTAGGGACCTGCAAATTCTCAGGCCGCATCTCAGACCGAATGCATCAAAAATTCTGTGGGTGATACTCAGCAACCTATGCTGTAAAAGCCTTCCAGGAGATACTGATGCATGCTACAGAAAAAGGATTTATTTCTTACAGTTATGGGGGCTGAGAAGTCTGAGACCAAGGAGTCACATCTGGTGAGGGCTTTCTTGATGGTGGGGACTGTCTGCAGAGTCCTGAGGTGGCACAGGGTATCACATAGTGAGGGGACTTAGCATGATAATGTGCTCACTCAGGTATCTCTTCCTCTTATAATAAAGCCACCAATTCCCCTCCCATGATGACCCATTAATCCATTATCCCACTAACCCGTTAATCCATGAATGGGTTAATCCATTAGTGAGGGCAGAGTCCTCATGATTCAATCACCTCTTAAAGGCCCCACCTCTCAATGCCACCACATTGAAGATTTAATTTTAACTTGAGTTTGGGAAGGCACAAATATGCAAACCGTAGCACAGCCCTACCAAAAAAAAATTACAGTTAAGACATGAGATGCAACACATTTGACATCAGTGTCTAGACAACCTTGATTAACTCATCTAGCTCTGTTCTTTTCGAATAGTTTGTATTCTAAACACTGTCAATTCAATGGGGTACTCTAAAGTTGTAAGTATTCTGTGAGCTTAGTTTCCTTATCCACAAAATGCTACTAATGTTACCTACCTCATGGAGTTTCTAGGAAGTTTAAATGAAATAATATATTTGAAGTAGCTAGACCAGTCCTAGACACAAAGTTTTAAAAACATCCTTAGTTTTAGACCTTAGTTTCTACATTCTCTTCTCTTCTTTACATTGATTTTCTAGTTTGTCTGTTTGTTTTGTTTTGTTTTAATTGTTCGTCTTACACTGGGCCAGGGCCAGGGCCAACCATAGCTGAGCAAACTCAGTGCTGCTCTGAGAAGTACAAGTGCTCCTGGTATTGGCTGGGAAGTCATGGGAACTGACTGATTTCTCAGTCAGTGTTTCTGCTGCAGCATTTGTTTTCCTCATCACCCTGTTTACCAAGTCTACACATTTGTTCAAACTAGTAGCTGGTGCATGAAAAGGGAATATTTTCCCTTTTTATTTAATCTGCTCTCACAACAGCAAAATCTAAATAACCATCTTTCCTTGCACAATACTAAGTTCTGCATAGATATAACGAATGTTTTAGTGGTCACCTAGTAAGGCATTAGTGAAGAGGTTTCCATCTAGATTAGATGTAAATAGGTTAAGATTTAGTGAGGACAAATCTTTTGTGCGCATGTACAAAAGTTTATTAGCCAACTTGCTATTCTATCTGATTTATTCTTCCCAAGAACACTTTGAGACATGGATAACTGTATTGGCTCTAATTTACAGATGTGAAAACTGAGGTCCAGAGATATTAAGAAACGTAACCAAAGTCCTAAACTTATTAGCAGAACCAGCTACTTCATTTACAGAGCCCAGTGTAACATAAAAATGCAGGACCTAGTGTTCAACAGATTATGAAGAATTTCAAGACAGAGACAGCAGAGCATTAAACCAAGTACAAATGTCTCGGGGGCAGCATCCTGGTCAAGTGCATGGCTTGTAAGCCCATAAAGCCAACCCTGCTTGTGTCAAAATTGATTCCAAAGTCTATGTCTTTTTTCTATTTCATCAAATATGAGAGCCAATAGACTTAACAGAAAATATATATTGAATCTCTGGCTTTGGATGAGAGTAAAAGGTACAGGGAGTAACAGTGAAAGCCCAAAGACAACTCCATCAACTTCATGGTTTTGATAAGGGCTGGTTCTGATGCTGAGAAGCAGCCTGCAGTCATGGAAGCAGCACCAGTTTTGAGTCAGAAGACCTGGGTTCACACCCTGACTTAGCAACGTTCACTTGCATGACCTTATGCAAGACATCCAGGCCTTCTTAGCCTGCGTCTCCTCCACTAAAATAATAATAATAATAAGAGCGCTGCCATTTTTTCTTAATTTACTGAATGAATTATTACATGGATAGGAACATGTAAATGTATACAGTATGCAAGCATGTTTCCAAAAATACTGACTGTAAAGCTAACCTCAAGGCCCTACCTGCTAAGCCCTACCTGAACTATAGCCTCAAGGCCCTACCTGCAACCTCTCCCTAACTTTGTTTGTATCCACTGATTTAATAGGTACTAAGAGGTCTCTAGGCAGAAGGAAAATCTGAGCTGCGTCCAGAAATGGGATTCTGACATAGAGTAGCAGATGGTTGAACTACAGGGAGGTCAACCAAAGACTTCAAAGATCCTATAGAAGAATTACTTGAATACTTGATAGGTCTTGATTCAATAGTTTGAGAGCAAATTATTTTTAATATTAACAATGAATGACTCTGAGATGATATAGCATCTATTTCAAAAATGTCTTTCTTCACCTTCTCTTCCTCCCTCCCATGATCACTCTAAGAACCCCATAATCATGTTGGGGAGAGAGAATATAAGGGCTGTCCAGTGTTCCAGGACATCATCTTCTCCTCAGCTACTGTTATTGCCTCTGATCTATAGCACGTCTTGCAGTTCAACAGTTCCTTGCTGTAGTAGTGACTGAGACACAACCATTAATGTTGGTTTAAGAGGAAGGTGTCCTGTTTCAAAGAGCAAGCCATTCTCTCTTAATATAACCTGCTATGGTCACATAAGATGGGTGTCTTTAAGTCCAGTGCCACAGCTCAGGTGCTCATGGCCTACATCTACACACAGAGGAGCACACACTTATGGACATTCTTATGAGATTCATCAATAGGACAGATTGGCAGGTTTAGAACAGATTCCAGCATCAGCCACACCTTGTACTCAGAATCTCTCCAAGTATCTCCGTATCTCTCTAAGATAGGCGTGGGCAGCAAGCATAACACAACGTCATTCTGCTCCAAAAGGTCAGTCCAATTTCTTCTTACCATTTCTTAGCAAGACAATAATAAATAAAGACTTTCCTGTAAGAAGCTGGGGCTCTACCACATTAGGGCTTCCGCCACTATGTGCTCTGCCACTGCACTTAGCTGGAGGTGGCTCTGCTCATCTTTGCCTGTCTCCATGAGATCAAGGCTATGAGATCACCTGCCTCTGCATGGTGTGCAGACTGTTTCTTGACTCAGTCTTGAACAAGCCTCTCTGGCCAATGAAAGAAGAACTGTGTATAAACCAAAGGATGGCAACAATGGGACCCAAGCAGCAAAGTCACAGAATCCTTCTCAGAGTGTGCAATCTATTGGATCAAATTAAGTGACAGAATCCATTATTTCACTTTCTTTTCCTCCAGCCCACAGTAATTCCAAGAACCCCAGCTTGGTTCTTTTAGTTACCAAAATCAGTGAGGGCTTAGATTTGGATGAAAGCTTTCATCCAAAAATCTATTCAGCGATGATGAAAAAAAGAAAGAACCTTGGTGGCAGGAGTCATGTGACCCACACACAGAGAAGCTACAACAGTGGTATGGTCAGAGCATACAGCATGCCGAAGTTAAGAGCTAAGGAGCAGAGAAGCAGCAAAGATAGGAATGATGGCCCAGGGGGAGTACTGAAAGTAGAAATTCAGACAGATTCCATGAAGTGCTGTGAGTTGAAACCCAGCCTGACATGATGAGTCTATGTGAGAACTTCCCGCCTTCTCATCCCACCATGAGAAATCCAGGGGACCAGACAAAGAAGACAGTAATAAAAGTGGTGAGGACTCTACAGTTATACAGGTTATGGTTGGGACCTAAGTTGCAGTTTTGAAATCACAGTGTGATCTCACCACCTGAAAGACCATAGAGTGACAATTATTTATGTAGCCACAATTATCCTGTATGTTTTGCCTTAAAAGCCTAGTCATTTCTGCCTCTGCCTTTCCGAAAATGATAGAAACTCACTGAATCATTTGTGGTTGCCTCAGTTTCACAAATGCCATTGTTACTCTGTTCTCCAAGTCACTCCACATTTTGTTCTACTTGGTGACTAGTGGATGAGTTGTAGCTGACAGAAGAATTTAAATTGCCATCTTGTCAAACACAAATTTCAGTAAGTCTACATGACTTTACCAATTTAGGGTAAGGCTTAAGAAATATCTAATTTTACCAGATGGACAATTGCAGAGGTAGTAAGAGGCACAAAATCCTTATTACTCAGCAAAGGGTCTGGGTAAGACATCAAAAACACCTCAAGGTTTTAATATCTTTTCAAAAATCACTTCTCTTCATGTTTATGTACTATCTAGTCTTATTTATGGTCAGATTGACCCAAAGTAGCATCTCAACCTTGCCACTAGCCATGTGACCTTGGTCTACTCATGCATCTTTTCTGAATTTTAAATTTCTAAATAGAGAAAATAATAACTATCTTTCAGGGCCAATGTAAATATTACATAAAAGAATACAAGTGCAATAATTTCAGAGTCTGTGGTCTTTTGTCACTTCTCAATAAATATTTGCAATGATAAATGATTGCATAAATGGGCAGTCAATAAACAGCCAAACCAATAAATGTTTGTTTTCTTTTCTTATGCATTCTCACCCCAGAGTCATCTAAGACATAAAAATGGAAAATAAACACTATATTTATACTTATATAGGAATTTAATTTATAAAATGAGACATTATCTGTCTCATGTGATCCTCATAAAATTCCTTGAAAGACAGTCCAGACAAGAGTTGCCATTTCATTCTAAAGCAAAGTGAACTGAGGTTAAGGGCAATACTTTGAATTATCCAAATTCATATAGTAAAAAATAAATAAATAAAGGGAGATAGAGAGGGAAATAGGGAGCTATGAAGG